CTCATCGTATTTTCCAATAAACCAGTGGCTGTCCTAGTATCAGCACAGGTTGCGCAAGTCTTGTTCGACAGCCCACAATGTGATGCAGACGAAAAATATCAGCTATTCGTCAACCTTGATGGTACAAAGCCCTGCGGAACAGACGGACTTCACCCACTAATACTGAAGTCTCTATCGAATATCATCACACCAGCCGTGACCAACCTATTAAAGAAACCAATATCTGAAGAATCTGTCCCAAACGACTGAAAATGCGCGATAATGAGACCGCTTCCTAAGAGTGGTTATTCGAGTATAGTAGAGAACTACAGACTGATCTGTTTGACTTCGATATTGTCCAAAATTATCGAGGTTATGAAAAAGTGTCTGCTGTCGTTCTTTAAATCTATGGACGTATTGACGCCCGCACAACACGGCTTCACGAAAGGGTGATCCTGCATCACCAACGTAATGTATGCAAATCACCAGTGGGTACGAGCTCACAACGAACGGAAAGATGATGACGTGGTGTACATCGACTTCAGTAAGGCGCTTGACAGAGTAAATCACGAGGTACTCCTTCGTAAACTGAAAAGCTACGGGGTCAGTTGCACGATACTTCAGTGGCTACACGAGTTTATTGTGGGACGGAAGGTTAGAGTACAGGTTAATGACTACCTGATAGACTGGTTCGCATCGACCATCGTGGTGCCACAGGGAACTGTACTTGGGCCAATATTTTTTTGTAATCATATCAACGGTCTCCCGCAGCAGTTCTAGTCACCACGTGCGTTGTTTGCAGATGGTATGAAAATCTGGAGGACCATTGAGAATCAAGACGATTTCGCTCGCCTCTAGCATGAGTTGGATCGAATGTCAACGTAGTCCAGTTAACGCAAGCAAGAAGGAGTTCATCAGTATCACCAGACGTGCAACAACTCGACCAAACACATTGGACGGCCAGTTGCTCCACCCCCCCCCCCAGCACGTCGGTCAGAGACTTAGAAGTACCCTCGTGACATGATATGAGACCACTAGAAAATACAGAGAAATTGTACTGTGCGGGACTTCGTATGCTCGGGACATTACGACGCAGCTTCGCCACATGGCCTGAAGAAACCGTCCCTCGTTAATTCACCAAGCTCATCAGACCAATCCTTGAATACGGCGCCCCAGCTTATTAGCTGGTAACCCAGTGGGAAAAGGAAAAGCCGGGGACAATGCAACACATCGTAACTAGAATGATTTCCAGTCTTAGAAAGCTTCCGCATGAAAAACCTTGTGAAAGGCTCGGATTTTACACACTTATATACTGCCGAGTGCGAATTGACCCTATTATGACCTATCGAATACTATACCAGAATCACTTCCCCATACTGCGACCAATATTTCAACTGCGGGAACACTGTAACACTCGAAGAAACCGCTACAAACTCAGGGTCCCATGCATGAACAGGGTACCACATCAACTCTGTATAGAACGAAGGATCGTGAAGTTATGAAAAACACTACCAAAAGGACTAATAGAGGCCGGTTCTGTGAGGTGTTATAAAACATGTGTCGACGATTATTTCGGAAACCTGTTTTTTCGAAACGGTGAAAGCTGTACGACGTAACGGCGCTTCGCTGCTGTGTGACCACCACCAGTCGCACGCGAGCTGAGTATACCGCGAGGACGCCCACACCTACGCGGATTCAACACCCGCGCCGCAACGTTACGAGACAAGCTCGTTACATCTGGGCTACGGGCAAAAAATACATCCGGCATCCAAAAATAATGATACCAATACGAATTCCTAACCGAACAACGATAGACGATAAACTGACCAAACACTACCGCTGATAAACCGCAATTAAATTTTGTTGAATTTTAATAATTCGAAAGTTGTACAGAAAGCTTTTACTTGCTTTTAAATACTGTCGCAGTCCCAGAGTTCGTGTGATTTTCCAGAAGCTCAATAATCTATGGAGACGGTGGGATATCAGCATGTGAATGAAAGGTAGGTTGTATAGCGTTATGATAATGCCATAATCACTGTACGGATCGGAGGCCTTGCCACTTTGCAGTGAAACCATTAGACTGTCGCGTCTGACCACCAGTAATCGCGAAGTATTGCTTATATCCTGTGGGAACACAGGGTAAGCGATGCTGAGGTCCGTCAGTTGGTTTCTGTCAAGAAACCATGTGACACCTTAGAAAGTCAACAGTACGCAGTAGCGACGTTTTGCTGTCGCACAAGCACGACCGGGCGCACGCAGGGTAAGAACACAGCGAGGCCTGAATTCGTGCCCACAGATTACAAGGCAGGCTTGGGATGCTTAAGGTGGTGTTCGCCGAACTGCAACCGCTTACGCTGGCTAGGCTATCTTTTTTGTCTACCCTTTGACTGACATCCTCGGCGTGCGTTGTCCGCCGTGGCTGCATCAAGTTGGGAAAAACCGCGGTGGCTAAAAATCATGAATAAACTGTATGAGGGACTTAGCAAAGCTCGTGCGTCCTTGTGGACGGAGCTAGTGGCTGGAGGCTATTAGACATGGTACAGTCATGTAATCTTAGAGATTCCTGCATTCGGTTTCTTGCACCTAGCTGTTAATTTTCATTTCATCCTAATAAGATTGACGCATTTCATTGATTCAATTTCCTCCACACTCAATTTGCATTCAAAAACCATTTTCTTGCCGATTATACGTATTGTCATGCTGGTGACGTGAGTAGTGGCAACTAGGTCCACCGCATTTCAGTGCCCGCAATATAGTTGTTCGACTGAATTGAACAGCACACCGTATTTGGTTCGCATACCTAGTGCAGTACTCTCACGGAATTAGAACAACTCAGTCCAGGACCGGTTAGGAACTTATCTGACCTCATCAGGTAGACAGCAGGTACTCAGACCACGGGCCTAAGTCACTATTCCTCTAGCCGCCGAGTAACGGCGAGCAACGCGTCACAATGGTTACCGGCTGATTGCAGTCGTTTTGAAACACATGGGAATGGACTGCGAGGCGTAATCTCAAGGTGGACCACAGTTCACATTAAAGTATACCCTGGTCAATTTGAGCAATGTAACCGTAACTGTTGAAACATGGATATTGGATGTAACCTGCTCGGGCGAGCAATCCATTTAAACGAGTGATTCAAAATGACCCTCCAATTAAACCAATTTACTCTCAGTGCTCACTCCCACCGAGTAACCACTCGCAATAATTGCCCCATCTACCCTCACTTCCGGCGATCGTATCGCCAATGGGACTAACGTGCACTGCCAAGGCTAGTATGAATTTCGATGTCTCAGCCACTTCGGTAGTTGTAATTGGCTAATGGGACGGTGCAACTAGCGCAGAAGTGTACTGGCTGCTACGTGCTAAAGGCACTAAGATCCTGGTAGCATCTCTTTCTAACACGATTTGGGACACTGAAGAAGTGCCTTCAGACTGGCGACTACCAACTGTCGTGCCCATCTACAAGAAAGGTCAGCGTGCTTTGCGCGAAAATCATCGATCCATTAGCCTTATTTCCATTGCCACAAAACTTCTCAGGTATCATTCTTTGACGAATTACTGGTCACCCTTAGGACCGAATCCCTGAAAACCAAACTGGTTTCCGCCCTGGCTGTGATTGCATCGACCACATATGTACTCGTCGTCAAGTTTTAGAGTAGAGACACATACAGACGACCGCCTATGGCAGTTTTCCTGACTTGAAACCTACTTTCGACTCTAATGACAGCGCCAGCTTGTGGCACAGACTATCCATGAAGGGCGTGCCAGCTAAACTCCTTTCCATTCTCTGGTCCCTCTACCGTGTAAGGGTATATGGGAAACCCTCTCTTGAGTTCACCACGACAAGTGGGTTCGCCAGGGTTGTCCTAAACCTGCATTCATCTTTAACCTCGTTATCGAAATGATCATGAATGACTCGGCTCTTTCAGACTATTCTGGAGTGGAAGTACTGCCAGGCGACCGACGGACAAACCTAGTTCTCCTTGGGTCTGATGCATTGGCTATGCAAATACTACTGCACAGACTTGTACGTAGCGCTGCATGCTTCGGCATGTAATTTGCTGCTGTAGGACTAGGCTGACACCAGTTTTAGCTATTTCCGAACAGCCACTGGAAGTGATGGAGCGGTTCATTTACCTTGGTAGCTGTGTCACCTCTGTTGGTCACATAGCTGAAGAGGTTACTTCGCGTAACAGCAAGTCTCGTGTGGCTTTTCAGTGACTCAACCATCTATGGAGACGGCGGAATATCAGCTTGGCAGTGAAAGGTGGGGCATATAACGCTGTGTTATGGCCAGTGTTACTGCATGGGTCAGAGACTAGGCCAATTCGCGGCGAAGATGTTAAACGCTTCGCTGTGTTTGACTACCGGTGCTTACGGAGTATTGCGCACGTCTGGTGGGAACACCAAGTGAGTAATGCTGACGTCCGCCAGTTTGTTTTCGGCAAGAAGCTTTCTGAAACTCTCTCGTTAAGTCTTAGTCGCTTGCGTTGACTAGGCCATATCCTCCGTACGCCCTTGATCAGCTTCCTCAGCGTATATTGTATGCCGTGGTAGCACCAACTTGGGCGAAACAGCGAGGTTGGGAGTCCACGACATGGCATAGAAGCCTGAAAAAAAGTGACCGAGAGACTTGGTCAGGGTGGTGTGTGTCGTCTTCCTGGATGGGGGTCCCGGGACCGTACACACCAATGGTTAGAGACCCTTACAGACATGGCGCAATCACGGTCAGTGGTGTGCATATATCCGGATTTTTCATCTGGTTGTTAATTTTAGTTTCATTCTGATTAGTGTAACACATTTCCTTCGTGTTTTCATTTTTCTTACATTCTATTTGCATCTAACCCCACCATTCTACCAGTGTTATTATTATTCCTACGGTGTGAGTCATGGCAACTAGATTCACCGTACTTTGGTACTCGGATCATAGTTATTCAGCTGAAATGAATCGCGTCTGACCAGAATGAATAACTAAAGCTCGTCCACTCGTGTTTGGCCTCCCGATATGAGTATAGTCGCTTGCCAGAGTAAATTTGTGATGCAGCTTCAAGGAATAGATCATAGTTGACGCAATGTTAACCGAATTGGGACAATCAGCGAACTGCAGCTGACGAGTGCGCCAGATAACCTCTCAGTACATTAATCAGGAATCTTACTGATAACAGAAAGAAAAGTCGCAGCTGTCTTCTACAATCGAGAGTCATAGGTAGTGTTGAATAAAAACGCGTAGCCAGAGCACAAGTACAAGTTGCGAAAGAAGCCCAGAATTGTGCGAGACGGCTAAGAAGTCAATGCCGAGACGAGAAGTTTAATTGCATATCTAGGCAGATACACCAGCTAGCCGAGATTGCGTACGCTTCCAGTTTTCGAGAGGCCCGTGTTCTGGTTGATACTTCGCTGTGGCACCATCAGACACAAGGGAACCCGTCCGCATCATCTCGGTGAAATTTGCACGTCGCCACTTCGTGAAACCCCAGTTACGAGAGACAGCAATCTAGGTGAAAACAGATAGGAAACAGGTTAGAACAATCCGAAAGTTAAAAATGAAAAATAAACCCAACCGGAAAGACGCTGGTTGATGGAATGTTTAATGATTCATTACTGACTAAATATATTTAGGTAGTAGTTTTAAGGGGTATAAGAGTACGAAGTACACGCTGTCCACAAGACACAATTTAAGGTATCAAATGAAAAAATCGATGAAACAATTAGGATATATAACTAGAGAATTGTGTGCACCCCGAATGTGTTGGCGCGAGATTGGCAAAAGCAGTAACATTCAATGACGGAAACACATAAAAACGGTAGATGTGACTCGCCACCAAAGAAGTCGCTGCACTTTGCAACAACACTGGCAAGTCTCCCTACTTCACATACCACTAATTCTCAAACTGTGACGCCTGTGGTTGAACAAGAGACAAAGCAACCGTAACTAGCTGTAATGAGTGCAACGTAAAACATTTGATGGATGGTGAAAGCAAGCCAGATGTATCACCTGGTCTTTAACTAGAACATTTATTCTCCATTAGATGATTGGAAAGCTCATGTATGCCGCTGGATGACAGGCGATTCAATATGTGACTGCTATCTAACCGAAAATCGTGTTTATTATCTGCTACAGTGAGGTGAAACAACAATGATCTGAGTAACTTAAAACACTGTCAACAATGACAGAAGACAAAAGTTACATGTTACCATTTCGGATTGCTCTCATCAGACACAAACGCAATGCACTTGGGTAATAAATTAACGTATGTACATGTGGAACGAAATTACGCGAGTAAACCAAAGTTGAGCAAGCAAGACCACGGTAATCTGATGGACTGCTTCAGTTGCTTTTGAGCACAATACCGGCCGGTTTACCGCAATCAGTGATGCCTCACTGATTGCCAGCATTTTCGAGTCGCGGTAGATCAATAGCACGTTGAAGGCCTCCAATCGATCCACGTGATGGCCTGTCAACACGAGATGCATTGTAAGACACTAGACCAGGAGTGTCTAAAATTTTTGCGAGGGACACATTTTGTGAGGTAAAAATACGTCAGACCATACTTAGATAATAGCAAAAATTACACATACAAGAAAAAATGCAAGCCTGAATGTAGTAGTATATGATAAAAACGCGGGTCAGTTGAAATGTTATCGCGAGCCGGACTTTGGACACTCCTGCACTAGACCATACGTCAGTACATAGGAAGCGTATGTACTCAATAGGTGTAGACTCACTTGCACAAAACCGTCGACGAATCATGCAGTTTCCATTGAAGTAAAAACCTATCTGTTGGCCATTCTCCCGAGTACCTCAGTGACCTGATATCAATATACACAGAAAATATTCGGTTCGAATTTGAGGGAATCGCACACAGGCAAGTCGATGGCGTTGCGATGGGAGGCACTCTATGCCTGGTTCTGGGGAACATTCTCAGGACTGATTGAAAGGTCACTAGCATCATTATTTTAACCGATTTGTCACCTTGTTGAATTCGACTCACCCCAATCTCTCCGTGTTGTAGGAGGGAACAACAAGATAGCCCGTCGTTTTTAGGCATTCTCATCAAAAGGCGAACCGAAGGTAGTCACAAACGCACCGTCCACTGTAAAACAACTTGGAGCGGGCAATACATTCATTTCACCAGCTTCGCACTGGTTGCATACAAACGCGCTCTCGTCAAAACCCTTTTCTAGAGTCAGGCGTATCTGTAGTCCAGATGCTGCAGAGCGAAGAAAAGTTGCTAGAGAGGACTCTTGTCAAACGGGCATCCTGAGGAATTTATTCAGTTACCCAGTAGACCCACTAAAGAGAAGCTACCAGTACAAAAGGTGGAGAAAAGTATGGTTGTTTATTTCCACTGTTCAAATGGGACAATGTTTCAAATGAAATTGGTTATAAACTTAAGTCTGCCGTAATGCGCGTCTACGAACCCTTCACACCACACGGACGCTGGAGCTCAACTACAGTTCGGACAGTTCGTCAGTCGGTTTGGCCTCTCACAGTATTTACCAGTTCACCTGCAGCTTCGGAGACATCTATACAGGCAGGATAGAATGACGATTGGCCAAAACGATGGCTGAGCATTGCCTGACATGGTTGAAGCAATCCATGGCATAACATGGAGAGAAGGATCAACTCAAGAGCCGGAACCTCGACTCGTCTAGGATGACAGGCCATTACGTGCTATTAATCTACCGCGACTCGAAAATGCTGACAATCAGTGAGGCATCACTGATTGCGGTAAACCGGCCGGTATTGTGTGCTCAAAAGCATCTGAAGCAGTCCATCAGATTACCGTGCTCTCGACTGCTCAACTTCGATTTACCTACATAATTTCGTTCCACATGTACATACGTCAATTTATTACCCAAATGTATTGCGTTTGCGACAGATGAGAGCAATCCGAAATGATAACATGTAACTTTTGTCTTCTGTCTGCGTTGACCAAATGAACTGACTATCGGGAGGTGACATGGTTCAGATTCCAATAACGAGTGCATCGATAAAAATAACTAAAAATGATTAAGAAAATGAGATAAGACATAAGTAGAGTGTAGAGGAAAATGCGCAAGAAAGAAAAATGGTGGTTAGAATGGTAACAAGGGCTAAACTCAAAAGCAGCATTGATTCCGCGAATCATCCAAGTTAGACACTACATCCAAGCATGTTTGGGACCCATCCCGAAACCATTGCCTAGGAAGATGGCATGCGTAGATCCCGACCAAGCTTCGCGTCGATTTCTCCGTGTCTTTATGTTATGCAGCTGAGGGGCCATCAGACGGTTTAGTCTAAGGAGATGCTGTGGAACATACGATCGACGGGCATATGCAAGGCATAAGCTAATCGACGCAAAAGACTCAATCTTAACAAACGGCCCAGTGTGGCACCAGATGACCTCTTACCAAACATCAGCTGGCGAACGCAGCATAAACCAGATATGGATAATACTTCAGAAATACCGGTGATCAAAGTCAACATCTTTAGCGCGAACTGGCAAGGTCTCTGATCCATAAGGTAACAACAGTATTATCGAAAAATCGTTAACTCTGCCATTCACTGACAAACTGATAACGAGGCTTCTCCGCAGATAAATGGGCTTCTACACAGGTCTTGTAAGTGATAGAAAAAAGTTCATGTGACGTTACTTTAAGATATGACATAGCCACACAATAAGGTGAAACGACCGACCAATTCCAGTGGCTGTTTGCCGATGGAAAGAATGTCGGCCCGATCCCGTAAGAGTAGCGTGCACTTTAGATGCCAAACCCACGGCGAAGTGTGGGGCGCTAAAAACGTCAACCTAATAGTAGTGGACAGTTCGGTCTACCGAAGTTGCGTTTGGAGCACACCGTATAAACAGTGACGACCCATTCTTGCAACTATGTGTGACAACAATGGCTGTCTCCCCATAGAGCCCAGCGAATCCCTCGATAAATTACCCATACTGATCATGTTGACAGCAGCTACAGATGGCGCACATCAGTCCAAGACCGTCAGTCAGTTTGAAGCACGCATCTGGATTCCGACCATGCTCTAGTAGGTGCATGCCTGCCGCCGACGCTTACTGCTTCAAAGAAGCGCCCGACTTTTAAGCCCCTCGTTTTTATCCTGAACTTACAGTCCACAATAGATAATTATTTAGACCAGTGGTCCTCGATATGCAAGCAATTACATCCAGGTGGGGTAAAACATAACTTTATGAGGACCAGGTCATCAAGCTGTCTTAAAATATGTAACTAACTACCCTAATCATAGTTGTGTAGTCATTGGTGACGGAGTGGTTAGTGAGTCAGGCAATTTTCGGTAATAAATTACCTAAAATGCAAGCCTGCAAAGCAGCACAGATAAATGGCGCCTCTCTCGGTTCGCTCCTCCACCGTTTTCTTTTGAGCCAGATAGTCGTTCACCAAATCGAAGTACATAGTTGAGTGAACGCTAAAGTGGGATTATGAGCCAGCCGACCAGGTAAAGGAACGACGGAATATTCACAAGGTAGAATGGACAAAAAGGGAGATTAGGGTTCAGGCTTATCGACACAGCGGTGATGGGAAGCTGTCATACAGGATGGACTTAGAAAAATGGTTGAAACGGATCCTAAGCCAATTCAGTGTGTGTTGGAGAGGATCTGGGAATGGTTATGGTTATGCCCATAAATAGGGCCAAAAGCTCCGCTATCGGAATCGGAGCTGCTAATCCTCCCACCCGATATGTTGTCGGCGGTGGCGAACTCCCTGTTGTTACTCAGCAGGTTGATTAAGGTGTCGTGCACTCATCAGCTTTCATTCTGGCGACAATCGAAAGGCTGCCTGTCAGGGGTTTCGTATGCTGTAGTTTATTCGCCGAGCTTTCGGAGTTCTAACGGCCAAAATGTTTGTGAAGCTATTTTTGGCATTTGTCCGACCCCACTTGGAATATTGTGTCCAGGCTTGTCCACCATGCCTTAGCCGAAACTAAATGGAGGTGAAGTGTTGCGAGTGCGTACTACGTTAGCACAAGGTCTAAGCGGACAGATGGATTATGAATGCTTGCATAGTATGAGGACGCACTGCATGCACTACCGAAGGGTGAGAGGGGGCTTGATTCGTACCTATCGTATTTTGACAAGCAAGATCGGCACGGACTTATCAAAGCGAAACTCTGCGAATCGTGTAGAAAATAGCTGGAATAAGCAATATCCAGTACTAATAGAATGCAGCACCGTAGAGGTCTACAAAAAAGACCTAGATAAGTGTGGGTCTGAAATATTTTCAGAATTATTGTAATTTTATTGCATTATGTCGCTGTAAGCTCTTACTACATGACAGTACAGAGAATGCTTTTGTTTTTGCTTCAATCTTTTGCAGACGCCGTGAAAGTTAGTCGGAGGTCAAGGTACCGGGGTTTTTTGTTTGCTTACCAGTGCAAGAAACAGGACGCTCGTTAAGCGAAAGTCTGAATCATCTTTGGAAGTTGACTTGATTTAGCAATTCAGTCCCGCTAAGTTACCTAATCGCCGCGGTCACCCACTGAAACTGCATAAACCACGGTCTGATAGGATTAGGAAGGAAACTCCTCTGTCGCGCCGAGTTATAGATCGCTGGAATTCGCTTCCAGCTGACGTGATTATGGAACCTACGGTTAAGGGCTTTGCGCGCAAGCTCGATGTTCTTGGGTGGCAACACAAACCTTTCCTCTTTCCTGACTCACCTACACTTTCAGTTCTCTTTTAGGGACTCAAATATCCTGGTATCCTATTTGCCTAGCTCTTTCTACATTATCTTCTTGCCTTGGGAGTTTACTTTTTTCTCTTCCCTACTTCATGTAACCGGTCCAGCAAGGACTGCTGGGGCAGGATACGTGGGTATTAATTGGTTGGAAAGGGTGTGATGCGGTTTTGGTTTTAGGTCTATCTGTATTTCAAAGTCTGCCAACTCCTGGTTTAACGAGCCGCTAAAGAAGAAACGCTCACGGGATAATCCTGTCATTCTAGTCCCACTTTTCATTGAGTTCACTGATTTGTAGAGAGCATGTTAGCCCCGTCGTCTCTAGATCACCATGCCTTAACGACCCAACAGTCTTCAAGTGACCAGGAAAGTCGCAGAGGAACAGTGCTGTCCAGGCACCTTGCGCAGCTGGGAATCCAGAAGCTGCTTGAAATTTTCTTGTCTGTGCGCTGACTACGGTTTCTGAGAGGCAATTCCAGGGGTTTACCATCCTAGTAGTAAGAGCGACGGTGGAGCGGACTCGCACCATCCTCAGTTTAGATGCTTTCCAATCGTGACATCGTGTTAGGCCTCCTACACTGAGTTGGAAAAACCCACAGTCCCTTAGCAACTTTGACTCTTGGTATGCACGGTAGCGACGATAGTCCAGTGAGAAGAGATTCATCTCTTGGAGTCGAAGTAGTCCGAAGATAAACTTTGAGCTTGGTTTATGGACCGTACTCAAGGATAGGTCGTACGTGAAGATCTTCGGTGTCATCCGCGAGAATGATCTTATGGCACCCCACACCCTGTTAATAGCGCCTACTCTCCCTGGTGTCCTGGGGGTTATTAGCTCCGAGGCAATTAATACACCTAAGTCTTTCTCCCGGGCGGCATTCTTCAAGAGGAAACCCTCAAATATGGCAGGTGCCAAGTGGATCAGACTCACCAATCAGGACGCATTTGGCATAGTTGATAGGTAGACCACCATACTTGGTGGATCAGTCCTGTAGTAGATCCAGATTGGCCAGTAGTTTACCAGCAGTAGCGACGTCCGAGACAAATCAAAGCTAGAGGTCATCAGCAGCATGCGTTTAAGGAAGGTCCTTGATGAACAAGTTGAAAAGTTCACATGAGAGGACAGATCCTTGCGGACCACATTAGCAATGGTTGAAAAGAGTTTCATTCACTCGCACCTGCATGGTTCTGTCCCCTAAGAAGTCGACGATTGACTGACATCAGTTTCACGGAGCTTGTACAGAAATCGCTGATGTGGGACCTTATCAAACGCCTTATTGAAGTGAAGTAAGACAAGATCTAGGTGTTTGCCGGCACTAATTGACCTTGCCCATTTTTCCCTCGACACTAGTAGGTTGGTAGTGTAGGAGCGTCTCTTCTGATAGCTGTGCTGTGTAGTGGAGATGATGTCCAGATCAAAACAGTGCTTCTGTACGGCAGGTCTAATAATCGCCATGACCTTGGAAATTATCGATGTCAGTCTGTAGGGTCAAGAGGATTTCCACCTGTGCCTTAGCATCACTATTCCCAGTCGGCGGGCAGACGCCCAGATTCTAGAAAGCCGAAAAATCTGGCAGATAAAATGAAATCTGTCAGGGCCAGGCGACGAGTTAAGATCTAGCTCGAGCAACATTTTCCGTGCTGAAATTGATGTCCTCAAGACAGTTGAAATGCGAAGCATGGAGGTTGTTGAGCGGTGGGTCTTCCATTGCGTAAACGGATGAGTAATGCCGAGCTAGGAGATCTGCTTTCTCGCCGTCTTCGTATGGAAGGGAATATGTTGTACTGAATGACAAAGCGGTTGGTCACAGCAGACTTTGTTCCTTTCGTTAATATAAGCGTAGATTTTTTCATGTCTGAACACTGTTCTGCCAGACTCTGATCACATTGCTGCTTCTCACACTTTCGTAGTATATAAGTTCTTCAGCGTCTGGTAGTTTGAATAGCCCGAGTCCACTTTAGTAGTTGCATTCGCCGAGTCATTAGAAACCGTATCTCCAGAGCAATCCAAGTAGCTCTCGTGTGGGCCTTTTTCTTGAGTTTGGGACCACCTGTTCAACGAGACGGTTCATTTTGGAGCACAAAAACGTCACAGCGCTATCGATGTAAAGATTTTGTGAAGTATTCGGGTCTCACATGCTAGCCGCCTCTTTTAGGCAGGTAGGATTGGCACACCAGAAGTTTCGGTAGTTAAACCTTCGGCCTTAGCTGCCAAATCGTCGCGTCCAATGATGCCAGAAGGTGCAGGCGAGAGCACCAAATCAAGGTGGGGTGTCTGACATGGACTACTCTGGTGGGCGTGGAGAAGTGCCGAGATAGGTTGGCGTCAAGGAATGCTACAAGAAGACCAGCATCAAATGACTGCGGAGAGTCCGTAGTGGAGAAGATCCGTCACAGTTACACCCATAGGTTTTGAGTGAATCCAAACGCGGGGACAAGTACACCACCCCGATGATAAGGGGATTGCATCCGTAGTGCATCCGACACCAGAGCGTTACTATACTGTCGTCAGTAATAGACCTAGATTTTCAGTACAGTATTAAACCGTCCCTAGTACCCGCCCCACCGCGATCCGCACGTAAGAGCTGAGATCCTGGAATAGGTATCTCTGGATCTGGCATATGCGAGGATGCAACTTAAAAGTAGTGGATGGCGTCACAGTCCCAGATGCAGAAAGCTGTTAACACGGAAAGCACTTCAGTTGTTGATGAGCCCACATCGTTAGTAGTGCGGATGTACACGATTAAGCTTTTAAATGGGTTCATTAGAACAGGAGCACACTACAACCAATTTAATTAGCGAGTGAGAACAGGAAATGCAATGTGGAACACCTATGCGAAAATAAGTCTAAGTAGGAGTGAATCAGTAGGAAGTTAGTGACTTGTTTCAATGCATTAAGAGTGGATGACAAGTTACTTACCTTTTGACGCCCTGGGAACTTCATTTTTGCTCGTCTGAGGGCCTCGATCACTGCACTTTGGTGTTGATCCTTAGCTCTGACCGAAATGATCACTTGACCGATATTGACCCTGGCAACAGTTCCCTGAGGCTTGCCAAACGCGCCGCGCATTCCGGTCTGAAGACTGAGAAAAATAAGCGCTCACACAAGCCTACCGATCAGCACCCGCATACGACAACATTTTGTTTATTCGAATAACGTGAAAAGGGTGAACACGAACTCGGTCGTGAAAATTTTCTTTCCCGCAATGTTTCAGCAAGTATTTGTTAGCGCAGATTCGAGCAGCTTCAAGCGCTTCGCTAGATAACTGCTCGTATTCGTCAGAGATAAGGTGAACACAAAGCGGGAACTCCTCAACATCGGCCCTCTTTTTGCCCAAGTCATAAATCCGAATTTTGGGATCGGGGACACCCCGGCAAAATCGAGACTTTGGGTAAGGCTTATTTTTACAATATCGATAGCTAGAAACAAACAGTAAAATCCTAGGGAAACTAACCAGCGTGCAGGACGACGACCCATGGCAGATAATGGGGGATTACTGCGAACGAGGTGGACACAACGGACGACTGTGAATAGCACCAAAATATAATGGAGGCCAGAATGGAAAATACTCCCATTATAGGAAACAATAATTCTATGCAGTTATTAGATATTTTGCGCGCTGCACATGTTGTGCACGGCAAACCACGAATATTTGATCCTATATACTAGGTAACATCGCACAACTAAAATTTCACGAACTATTTTAGCTGCTATATTTTTTTACGAATCAGCATCCGGGTGTAAATGGGGGCCATGCGTACAGTAACCTTAAACGTTGCAAGTGTTACTCATGATACCAATACAAGTTATTGGTACTTTCACTAACTATTTAACAAGTGACAAGGTAATGCTGTTTACTTAAAAATAACAAATCGGGGTAGTCATTAGTCTTATTATTTTCATGTGCTTAAGTAAACATAGGCGCAATTGGAAGTTGGACAGCAAGACACCTGACTCAAATCGTTTCTATGATGCCTTGTGGTAGCACGCGAATAAGTACCACGCGTTGGAACCGAAAAATGCGCAAAACCTGAAGTTGCCTATTAAAACACACGCTGATAATTTTAAGCTAGTTGATGTGCTGTGCTTTTCGAATGCCCTAAACCTATAACTTCTATCGTGCGCCTGCTAAGCTTGTATTGTCATGTGTTTGTTTGTAAGCGGCGTTCAGTTCAGTTCAGATGGGGACAGGAACGATAGGAGAATCCCGTGAGTGTTCCATCTTGAGTGGATCGTTGAGCCAGGAATTGATGAAGTGCTCAGTTACTGATGGATCTAAAACGGAAACACCCGTCTTTCGTTTCGACAGGCTGTGCTTAGCGGCGTTCCGCAAGGCTCTGTCCTAGGTCCGCTGTTGTTCTCAGGCTACGTGAATGACTTGCCGGAGGAGCTTGAGGTACAATCGCTTTTATTTGCAGATGACCTAAAGCTCTGGAATATTGTTGATATCCCTGGAGGTCCTATGGCTCTTCAACGGGCTCTGGATAAACTCTGGGAATGGTCTGTCTTGTGGTTGCTGCTTATAAACCGGACAAAGTGTTCAGTGCTGCGTATCGGAGCGTCTGATTCCTCCACAAGTTATGTGCTCGATGGGACTGTACTTCCTCACGTGACTCATCAGGTTGATCTAGGTGTCGTCCACTGTTCCACATTACACTCTGGAGAAAACTGGAAGAAGGCGGCTAGTAAAGGGTTCCGAATGTTGTGGTTTAGCCGTCGTTCTTTTGGGACCCTAACTGCTGATGTAGTTGTGAAGCTCTTCTCAGCGTTTGTGCGACCCCACCTAGAATATTGCGTCCAGGCCTGTCCACCATGCCTTGTCCGGGACAAAATGGCACTAGAAAGGGTGTTGCGTGTCGGTACCAGGTTGGGCAAGGGATTACGAGGGCAAACGTACCCCGAACGCCTACTTAGTTTGGGAATGCAGTCAATGCACTATCGAAGGATTAGAGGGGACCTAATCCTAACCTACCGTATTTTGACTGGGAAGGTTGGCCCTGATTTGTCCATGCTATTTAGTCCTGCTAGATTATCTGGTCTGCGCAGGCATTGTATGAAGCTGGACAAACCGCGGTCCGATAGAGTTGGAGCGGAGACACGCTTATCGCGTCGAGTCATCGAACGCTGGAACCTGCTTCCAGAACATCTTGCAAAGGAATCTACGGTTAAGGGTTTGAGCGTCAACTAGATGCTTTTGGGTGGCAACACGAAACCTTTCCGTTTTCCGGACAAATTCCCATCTTCATACTTCGATTCTATCTTCTTTACTTTTCCTCGCCATTGGTATTATTCTCTTCTTTTAACTGATTTCCCCTACTCTCTTACCTTCGCTTTTCCTTCCTCTCTTACATACTTCACGTAACTGACAGCTGGGACAGCTAATGTAAGGAACGTGGGCATTAAATTGGTGGACCAGGGTGTTTTTTCGGGTGTTTTCCTTTTAGACCCATCAAGAAGTCGGAGCACCCCTATCAACTCGTGGATCGACGACCCTCTCAAGAAGGAACACTTACGGGATTCATCCTATCGTTCCAGTCCCACTTGAACTTGAACTTGAACCCGTATCGCACCCTGGCCAACCAGTTAATGCCCATGGAGGAACCGGTAAAGGAAAATACCAAGTCAGTCAGGTTTACCTCACATATAAATTATCCTGCTGCACCTTAGCGTTGAACGGCCGTAAATCCCGAGGTATGCCGAAATGTACGTGTACGTAGAGTCCGATCGTGAACCAAGCAGGCAGCGATGCGCACAATCACAACAATCCAGCGGCAACCAAGGAAGAACCACGGAAGACGAGCTCGTAACTAAGTGTGTATATACAGTTAATTAAAACAAAGCTGTACAACAACTGCAGCGAAATAGGTAAACGTGAAAATGCAAAATAAGCAAATTATTTACAATCGCTACAGTACTCCCCCCTAGAGCGCGCACTAAGAAAATGCTCGACAACTGCCTACGGAACGTATTGAGCAAGCTTATGTGGAAAAGAAACAACACGACCAGAACGTGTGTGTTTGGAGCTGCGTGTAGTCGTAGGGCACGGAGGACTCAATGTACTAGCGTCAGTGTGTCGTTGGGTAGGGGGTAATGAGTCAGGGGCGGGGGTATGCTGATGGGAGGAAACGGGGTCTTTACTATCGACTGTAGTTCCGACGTATGCTGGCTTGAGTCGGTCGATGCTCACGGATTCTTTTGATCCATTCTTATTCAATACGAAATACTTGGGTTTCCGTGATAAGACCTGACACGGGCCGTCGTAGGGCGGAGTTAAAGGTCTTCGGACGGCGTCGACGCGGATGAAAACAAACGAATACTTGTGCAAATCGGGGTGGATTTGCTGTTTACGTAGGTTAGGCCGCGCAGACGTTGGTCGGATGGATCGAAAATGTTGTTTGAGGCGTTCAGCGTATGAGAAGGGGTCTAGTTCGCTGGTGGTGCGAGAGTCCAGTACCATCTCCCCAGGTAGTCTGAGGGTCGTCCCGAACACCAGTTCTGCAGGGCAGCACCCAATGTCCTCTTTGATTGTATTGCGTATACCAAGGAGGATCGCAGGTAGACTCTCAGACCAGCGTGAGTCGGACGAAGTAGCCATCTTGGCAGATTTTAATTGTCGATGAAAGCGCTCGACGAGGCCATTGGCAGCGGGGTGGTACGCGGTTGTTCTCATGTGAGTACAGCTTAATAAACGACTCAGATCGCGGAACAGTGTGGAACTGAACTGAGCCCCTCTGTCGGTAGTGATGGTGGATGGAACACCAAACAGAGAAATCCAAGATTCGACAAAAGCACGGGATACAGATTCGGTAGAGGGATCAAGTAAGGGAACAGCTTGTGGCCAACGGGTAAAACGGTCAACACATGTTAGAAGATGAGTGAAACCGTTGGAAGGAGGTAAAGTGCCAACAATATCTACGTGCACGTGGCTAAAACGAGCGTCAGGGAGTGAAAATGTACCTGGGGTGTTGCCTGTGTGACGATGCACTTTACTAGTTTGGAAAATTAAGGCAATGTTTAGCCCCCTGACTAATGTCTAAACGCATATTGGGCCAGAGGAGGCGGTCGGTAAGGAGTTTTACGGTGGAGCGGACACTTGAGTGTGAAAAACCGTGAAAATGATCAAAAATGAGACGGCGAAATGATTGTGGGACAAAGGGTCTAGGCTTACCGGTTGAAAGATCACAGTAAACTCTTATGTCAGAGTTAAGTACGGGCAGTTGGGTGACTTTCAATGAGGAGTTTGAACGAAGTTGAACGAGCTCAGGATAATCGTTTTGGGCGGCCTCTATTCTCTTCAAGTCGATGGGTTCGATGACAGTTGATTCATATGAGCGCGGGACAATGCATCGGCAACAAAGTTATTAGGACCGTCGATATAACGAACGTCAACACAAAACTGTGAAAGATAGTCCAGATGACGCGTTTCTCGGGGTGAGTAACGGTCTGAGGAAGAACGGAAGACATGCACCAGTGGCTTGTGATTTGTCAAGAGAATGAAACGACGTCCTTCTAAAAGGTGACGGAAATGTTTCACAGCCAAGTACATGGCGAGCAGTTCACGACCAAAGGTGCTGTACTTGACCTGAGCAGGTTGAAGCTTCCGTGAGAAAAAAGACAGTGGTTGAAATTCGTTGTCAACTAACTGTTGCAAAACTGCACTGACAGCAGAACTTGAAGCATCCGTCTTAAGGACAAGTGTAGCGTCCTCCGTGGTGTTCAAGTGATAGAGAGAGGTGACCTCACTGAACTTCTGCTTGACGGCCGTGAAAGCGGCTTCAACTTCTGGGGTTATCGTAAACGTCTTTTAGGTTCCTTTCAGTAAGTCGGTAAGCGGGTGAAGTAAATCAGCACAGTTGGGAATGAATCTGCCGTAGTAGTTGATCATACCGAGGAATCGGCGTAGGCTTCGGACAGATTGTGGCATCGGGTAGTCGAGGATTGCTTGAGATTTATCCGGGAGGGGTTGAATACCTTCACCATCGATCTTGTGACCGAGAAATTCGACGGTTGGCTGACCAAATTTGAATTTGTCCGGGTTGATGTTTATCCCGTGGTTTTCAAAGCGTTCGAAAACCATTCTGAGGTGTAAGAAATACTCGTCGGGTGTGGCGCTTGCGATCAAGACATCGTCAATGTAAACGTAGACGAAATCAAGGCCACGGAGGACCTGATCCATAAAGCGTTGGAAAGACTGTGCTGCGTTCCGTAGGTCGAAAGGCATACGAAGAAATTCGTAAAGGCCAAATGGAGTGATCACGGCAGTTTTGCGATGTCTTCCTCCGCCATTGGAATTTGATGGTAAGCTCTGACAAGATCGAGTTTGATAAATATTGACTTTCCAGCTAGTCCAAGGGAGAAATCGTGGATATGTGGGATAGGATACCTATCCGGAACAGTGACGTTGTTAAGAGCATGGTAGTCACCGCATGGTCGCCAATCGTCTGACTTTTTAGACACCAGATGGAGAAGTGATGCCCAGCAGCTGTTTGAAGGAAGAATAATGCCGAGATCAAGCATGTGTTGGAATTCCTTTTTAGCTGC